TTGGTGTACAATAAAAGGCAAAACGGACGAAGATATATATGGGAGCAATATCTAAATTTTGACCGATTATCTCCAATTTCAATAGGATGTGTCCTTGTCAAACAAATGACTTGTGCAAAATTTCATCTGGATCGGTCAATAAATGTGACCTGTACTTTGTTTACAAAAATACATGGACGGACAGACTGACGGACGGACATGCAGAATGTGATTTTATGCTGAACATCAAAAGGAACTATAAGTCTACCTCGTTTACTTTTGTCTGTTACAAACAAATGCACAAAGACATAATAACCTGACCACATTGTGGTGTAGGGTATAAAAAATGAAAAATGTATCAAATGCCATTAACCGGCATTCGATTTTGCAATGCCCAACATTTTTGTGCCTATAGTGCACACGTCATAACGTAATACGTTATAACTTGAATCGATATATTTTTCCTATTCGAATGGCTGGCCGTTTGTGTATTCATCTTAATTGGCACTTTTCCAAATGTGTACCTGTTTTGTACCGGGTTTATTTCATTTCAAAATGCATCTCAAAAAAGCGATCAGTAAGCAGGTGGTGTTGGTTGGTCTGGAAGCATCGACAATGTGTTTGCAACAAAAAGATGAGAATCTTCAAAATTGAATATTTATTATTTAAAAACAAAAATACCCGCCCACTCAAATGTTAAATTAATTTAATAGTAGTGTTTATGGGAGAGGACGTTTTTTTATTGTTGTTATGCAATCTTTTTGTTCAGACTAAATTTCATATGTCAACAAATAAATTTCAAGTAAAAATAAATTAAAAACAAATTTTTTTTTTGCATATAAAATAATGACAAGCAAAATATATAAATAATATCAGACAAAAAATTATTAACTGACGAGTCCAGAATTGTCGAATTAAAATTTTCAAAAGTTGCCAAATGAAATTTACGGCTTTCTGTTTCTCTGCAATATAGTTCTGATATGCAAATTCTAGAAAAGCATTATTGTTTTATGGCTGATGTTGATTGATATCTTTTTTAATTTGATTGATTTATTCCGTTGGGAAATAGTAAATTAAATATTCCACGTGATAATGTAAAAAAACCTGGCAAATAACTCGCACATGAGAGAAAGTTCTGCTCCAATTTGTTATCAATTAGACCATCATTTCAAATAAAGATGAAAAAATATAAAATGTGATTGATTTGTGAGCCAGAAAATTTTCGAAAACTACCATAGTTTCACTTTTTTTCATTTTAAAATAAACTTTTTTGTCATGAACTTGTCTTTAAAATTTTTATTTAAAACTTCGTCACCAATACATGGAGGCCACATTAAAACAAAAAAAATGTTGGCACAAATGTCCATTGCATGTTTTACTGCATATGCAACAAAATTTATTTTTTTCATGGCTGTCAAAAAATGTGCAATAAATAAAAAACTAAATGCATTGTTAAAATGTTATAAAGACTGCATTTTTTAGGCCCCTCCTTAAAAATTTTTTGTGTGGGTTACATTGACTTGGAGATGTCAAGGTGCGACAATATAACTAACGCTTATACAAAATCGAAACTCCACTTCGAAGCACGGTATTAGGCAACTCCATCAACTATTGCAATGCAACTGCCGAAAAAATTCCACTCAAGTTTTTAATTGCCTGAATTAAACACTGAAACAATACTTATAATAAATAACGTGACCATCGAGATAAGCATAAATATTTGCGGGGACACAATAAAAGTTGTAGCGGGCACCATATGACAAATTTAAAGCTCCAACTAGAATGTGCCCAATACCATAATAAAACATTACATACCAACCAGCACTAGCAGCCAGGAATTTTTCATAATGCATTATATCAGAATGGATTATATTCAAATAATTATTTTCGCCTTTAAGACACAGATTTGGATAATAGCATTATTGCAAGTTTCCGATTAAATACGACATATCTATATACAGGGTGAGATGAAAAAACTGCAACCAACTTTAGACTGCTGTCATTCTAAGCCACTCGTCCGACAGCTGTTAAAATTATTCCATTGACAGCTCATTATATTGTTTACAAAGGTAAAACAGCAGTTTGGTGAAATTTTTCCAGAAAAAAAGTTATTCGTGATGGAATTCATTCATCCAGTATTTAAATATAAATAAATCTTTTGTACCTCATACCATCGCTCGTTACCGTGATACTGGTAGCGTAGTCCGACGTCAAGGAAGTGGACGGAAGAAAACAGCAACATCAGCAGAAATGGTTCGAAAAGTAAAGAAGCGACTTGATCGAAACCCGCGTCGCAGTGGCCAAAAAATAGCTCGTGAGCTGAACATATCGCAATATTGCATTTGGCAAATATTAAAAAATAAGCTCAGGGTAAAGCCATTGGAATTCCAAAAAGTGCAAGAACTTACACCGCAACAGAAAGAAAATAGACTCAAAAGAGCTAAAAGGTTGCTTCGCTTGGCAGAAAGTGGTGAACTGCCGAATTTGGTTTTCTCCGATGAGAAATCATTCGTTGTCCAGCAGTTTGTAAACAAACAAAATTATCGTGTTTACTTGCCAAAGAGGTCAGCTGAAAATGTGCACCTTCGGTTGGCCACCAGAACTCAAACGCCGGCCATGGTGATGGTGTGGGTCGCCATAACAGCTGATGGTTGATCTCCGCTCTTATAAATCGACCGTGGCATCTGAATGAATGCCGAATATTATAGCAAAAATATTCTGGAGGGTGTATTAAAGCCTTGGGCACACAAATATTTTGCCCGCAGACCTTGGACATTCCAACAGGACTCAGCACTATCGACTCAGCTCGCGCCATCCAAGAATGGTTACAAAATGAGGTTCCTCGGTTCATTTCCAGCACACAATGGCCACCAAAATATCCTGATACAAATCCGTTGGACTATTGTGTCTGGAGTATTTTGGAAAGCAATCCTGGCACGATCATCTCAAGCAAGCGCTTCGCCGGGAATGGGCCAAAAAGCAACATCTCGAAAAGAATCTAGCCCACACTCTCGGAGAGGATAACAAAGTCGCTACTGTCCTTCTCGAAACCTGGCTTAAAACTTGTGGTGGGTATCATCACAGGTCACTGCAAGGTGTGGGCAATTACCTCGAAATGGGACAGCGATGATATTGACTTGAGACGATCGAACATTTGCTCAGCCACTGTCCAGAATTCATTAACCTAAGACACAGATTGGTGGGGGAACAAGTGTCACATAATTTGTCTTCGTTCTCTAACATTGACCCTACAGTACTTGTTCAATTAGTCAGAAGACTTTCTTCCTTCCAATTTCTTATTAGAATGAATTCAATGGACCAGCAGGTCTCCGAGTGGAGAAGTTACCAAAAGGCAACCACGCGTCTCTTAACCTAACCTAACTTTGGGTTCACTGTTATTGTGTAGAGTTGGAGATGGTTGGGAAGAGATTGAGCTGGAAATCTGAAATGAGGGTTTTTGAAGTTGTGTAGGATTGAGGAACCAAAAGTTTTAGTAAGTGTAGGAAAAGAGCTATAATATACTACATTTGGATAAATGTGAAAAATTGGTATGAAAACCAAGACGTTGGAAGTAGGGTTGATTTAAGGAGTTGCTTTTGGAAATGTATATTTAGTGCACGAACTGTACCAATGGAAAAATGTATGTGTTATCGCATGGTCTGTCCAGCCTGACTATGGCTATCGCTTACTTGCCTCGTATAGAGAATATTTTAAGGCCTAGTTCTGAATTTGCACGAAAATATGAAAAAACACATTCATACAAATGTTCTAAAACAAAAATTGAACTCCTGGGACTAAGGTAGATTCTCGTTCTTCTTCTCTTTCTGTCAACAGTTTTTGTGTTGCGATAAATCAATTAAAATTTAACAAAGAAAATTATTTAAAAACTTAAAAACGCGTTAAGTACGGCCGCGCCGAAGTTTTTATACCCTCCATAATGGCGATCGGGATTGAAAAAAAATCTTAGCGACTACGTATTTTCCGTCGCTAACTTATCGACAAATTTCGTTATCTACCAAAAATACCGTTATTTGTAATTGGTGTCACGGGTCAACATATTATATGACATTGCTTCCATATATCAGACCAATATCAGACCAATAAATCTAACTTCTCTATAGAATTTCCAAGGTATTTATTTCAGACGTTTGTTAGCCTGAAGTACCATTGGTGGTGAAATGCCGGCATTTTTGTCAGAAACCTTCAACAAATCCACAAAACTTTCCGTTAGAGTTCATATAAAAATAAAATCTGCCTGGAATATCTGGTATAACCTTCACGCTGCTATAAGGGCACCCGATGGCTATCAGATAACATGAATGGTATCCAATAATTTTTTTTATAAATATTAAATAACATGTTTAGTCAATCCAAAATGTTGATCCAATAAACCTTTAATACGAATGTGATGAGTTTTATATCCTACATTACTTGGTGTAGGGTATAGTGCATAAAACCACGTTACCATTGCTACTTTAAAATATGAACCATCAACAATAGTCAAAACTATTTTCAACAATAATAAAATATTGAAACATTAACACCACACTATCGCACAAAATAACAATGGCTATGAAGTAACAAAACACTCCGACTAAATTTACACACTTAGCTTCTCGTGTTTAAATGAGTTTCTGTGGCAAAGAAGCCAATGACTTGCATTGAATTCTTCGTACAATGGATGGCAGCGGATGGACAAATGGATGCTACAATTGTTGTATCTGTGTTTACCTGTTCGCATTATGTCACTGTGTATGTTTGTATGTGGTCGTACTGACAACAGAAGTTCCAAACAAAAACACACCATTAAGTCAACACTAATTAGTTAACAAATATCAACAATATCTCCACGGTCTTCATAACATCATTTGATACGATGATCCCAATACAATTGACACATTCCGTCATGGTTATTGTTTCAAAACGAAAAAAATAAAACATTTGGTAAACATTTATTGGCTGCCGGGCGTTTTGCATTTCGTGAATCGATTATTGTTCAGGTAATGACATGAAGTACTTACTCTTTTGTTCGGTAATCTTTAAGTGTCCGATTCAATGGTATTCGGTCACTGGCCAAGACGTTGAAGCTATTCAGCCTGAAGAAACGTTGCATGCGGAAACGATCCCTCGACGGTATAATTACTGGTCGACCTTCGGCACCTTCGCCAGATATCGGATTGAAGAGATTAATGTTGTAGTCGTCTGGAAGCAAACAAAAAAAAATGGGGAAAATTAATGAAGTTTGTATTAGACATTGAGTTACAGTTTATAAAATCTCAATAATATATTAAAACTAATTGATGTACCATTTAAGATAATTCCATTCCCAAAACAGGTATATAATTATTAAAATTAAAATGACTGAATTATATTGTAAATCCGGCAAAATTCATGTGGACAATACATAATCAATTTTAGCTTATTCTGAATTATTTAAATGACGCAATGTTTTCCAGTTTCGTTTTAGTAAAGATCAGATCAAAATCATCTATAGAGGGTTAAAATTGACTCTTTCCTGGCGAAACTATAACATTGTTCTAAATTTTGAGTTGTTCCAACTATAATAGTAACCTATGAAGCCACCAAAAAGTTAGGAAAATAATCTCCAAATATTATTTTCTTATATGATTACAAATAAACAGGGACGGGCGGACACACAAAGCTGGTCGAGATATGATAATGATGATTCCAAGTATAGGGTCTATAACTGTTAGCTGTTGTTTTATACAAATACTAGCTGAACCCGGTGCGCTTCGCTACCCCATTTGGTTTTATCGGTCATACATATCGTGTTTGGTGCAGAAAATATTTGAGGAGGTATATATAAATTTGAACCGATTTTAATATAATTTGCCAAATTAATTTCCTCTCCAAATTCCGTAATTCGGAAATCACCGAAAATGTATATAGGAGGTATATCCAAATCTGAACCGATTTTAATATAATTCGGCAAATTTGTTCATTGGAATCGCACATACGAATCGTGCTTGGTGCATCAAATGTGTGAAATCGGCAGAAAATATGTATGGGGGTTATATCCAAATCTGTACCGATTTCAATATAATTTGACAAATTTATTTTCTGATCAAACCCTTCACACATCCAAATTTCATTGGAATCGAACATACAAATCGTGTTTGGTGCATCAAATAAACGAAATCGGTCGAAAATATACAGGGTGAGATAAGAAAAACTGCAACAATGTCAAACGCCATAATTTAACCTTTTTTAATTTTATTGAATGAAAGCAAAAAAGGTCGGAAATGGCATCAAATTTTAGAATAAGTTTAGATTTGTTCGAATTGGTCACCTTTGGCACGAATTATGGCCTTCAAACGGCCAATGAAACTGTCAACTGCTGCCCGAATGTTGCTCTGCGGTATTTTGGCCCATTCTCGGCAAAGCGCTTGCTTGAGGTGATCGACCATTTGACATTTTGCTTGCTTTCCTAAAATGTCCAGACACAATAGTCCAACGGATGTAATTAAACGAGGAACCAGATTTTGTAACCATTCTTGGGTGGCGCGTGCTGAGTGCGATAGTGCTGAGTCCTGTTGGAATGTCCAACTTCTGCGGCCAAAATGTTTGCGTGCCCAAGGCTTTAATACACCATCCAGAATATGCTCATTTTCAGCTGACCTCTTTGGCAAGTAAACACGATAATTGTATTTGTTTACAAACTACTGGACAACGAATGTTTTCTCATCGGAGAAAACCAAATTCGGCAGTTCACCACTTTCGGCCAAGCGAAGCAACTCTTTAGCTCTTTTGAGTGTATTTTCTTGCTGTTGCGGTTCTTGCACTTTTTGGAATTTCCATGGCTTTACCCCGAGTTAATTTTTCAATATTTGCCGAATGAAATATTGCGATATGTTCAGCTCACGATCCATTTTCGGCCACTGTGACTCGGGTTTCGATCAAGTCGCTTTTTTTGAACCATTTCTGCTCATGCTGTTGCTGTTTTCTTCCGTCCACATCCTTATCATTGGGCTACTCTATCAGTATCACGGCAACGAGCGATGGTACGAGACACAAAGGATAATGGTTTTCCAGCCAAAAATAAAGAACTCACACTATCACGCTTGAATTCCATCAAGAATAACTTTTTTTCTGGAAAATTCTAACCAAAATGCTTTTGTACGCTTGTAAACAATATAATGAGCTGTCACTGGAGTAATTTTAACATCTGTCGGACGAGTGGCTTAGAAATTACAGTAGTCTGAAGTTGTTTGCAATTTTTTCATCTCACCCTGTATATGGAAGCTATATACAAATATAATTTGGCAAACGTATGTTTGTTTTAAATTCCGTTACGCATTCCAATTTTCATTGAAATTAAAGATACATAGCGTGTTTGAGGCATCAAATACATGAAATTGGCCGAAAATATATATGGGATTTATATCCCAATCTGAACCGATTTCAATATAATTTGGCGAACATTTTATTTAAACAAATTTCATCACACGTTTCAAATTTCATTGAAATGTTGTAGTATAATACTTGGAATTTTTCAGGAAAATCATCAATAACAAGCATACAAATATAAATGAATAGCTCCGCAGTTTTCCATTCTCCTTATTTTCTTATTAAAATAAATTTGAATAAATTTGGGTATGATTTGATTTTGACGAATAATAAAGAGTAATGCCTTGTCTGTGTAAAACTCAGGGCACAATAAATTCAATTATAAAAAAATAATATTTTGAACAAATTAATTAAATAAAACTTTTGCAATTATAATACAGCAATTTAATAGAAATGATGCAAAATGCGATTGTCATTACCGAAATTTCGTTAGAAATTCATAAGATTTATTGCCAGGAAATTTACTTGCAAATCATTATTATTCTTAAAAATAATGTTGTTTTTATTGCAATTTGCGTGATAGTGAGATTTCTTAATACTTGGCTTGAAAGCCACAAGTGGCTATCGTTAGAGCATTCCAGCATTTAAATGTGGATAAATCGTTTGTTCCTTACCGTGATAATGGTAGCGTAGACCGACGTCAAGAAAGTAGACGGAATAAAACAGCAACATCAGCAGTAATGGTTCGAAAAAAGCGTCTTGATCGAAACCCGCGCCGCAGTGGCCGAAAAATGGCTATTCCATTCGGCAAATATTGAAAAATAAGCTCAGGGTAAAGCCATTGGAATTCCAAAAAGTTCAAGAACTTACACCGCAACAGAAAGATAATAGACTCAAAAGAGCTAAAGAGTTGCTTCTCTTGGCCGAAAGTAGTGAACTGCCGAATTTGGTTTTCTCCAATGAGAAAACATTCGTGTCCAGCAGTTTGTAAACAAACAAAATGATCGTGTTTACTTGCCAAAGACATCAGCTGAAAATGTGCACCTTTGATTGGCAACTAGAACTCAAGCGCCGGCCATGGTGATGGCGTGGGCCGCCATAACAGCCGATGGTCGCTCTCCGCTCGTATATATAAGAATAAATACCGAATATTATCGCGAAAATATTCCGAAGGGTGTATTAAAGCCTTGGGCATGCAATCATGTTGGTCACAGACCTTGGACACTCCAACAGGACTCAGCACCATCGCACTCAGCACGCGCCACCCAAGAATGGTTACAAAATGAGGTTCCTTGCTTCATTTCCAGCGCACAATGGCCACCAATATCTTCGGATACCAATCTGTTGGACTATTGTGTCTGGAGTATTTTTGAAAGCAAGGTTGGCACTAAAAAATACCAAAGGCCATTTGAAGGCCATAATGCGACCAATTCGAACAAATCTAAACTTATTCTAAAATTTGGTGCTGTTTCCGACATTTTTTGATTTCATTCAATAAAATTGAAAAAAAACGAAAAAAATGTAAAAATTATGGCGTTTGACTTTGTTGCAGTTTTTTTATCTCACCCTGTATCTGGGACATTAAAATTGCATAAAATCGGTCCAGCTATCAACGACTAAAAACAGCAATAAGCTCGACCGGACCCAACTTTTTATACCCTCCACAATGGTATTTTGCCACAATTGTCTAAAACATAATTCTAAAACTGCTATTTTAACGCTCCTGAGTGGCAAACCAAATACAGATATTTATTCATATATCTTTTGAATGGTGGCTTGTTTATTATTTCACAAGTTGTGATAAGAAAGAATAGCTAAAGGAATTTCATAAACCTTTTTTGAGTTAATAAAGTGTCACCCATATTTCGCAGAGCAAATGGGTGCTATGTAATCCCATAGAAATTGAAAGAAAATTAAACTAATTCACTATGAATTCGCACATTTCGCTCATTTATGGTCAATTTAGCATGGAATGGCTCTTAACTAATCAATCCACTGGTATTTTGTATGTGTCCCCCTCCTCCTCCACGGATAATAAGCGTTAATTGTTTGTTTGTCATTGTTTATAGATGCGTCATAACACATTCATCAATCCATCCACCTTGGCTATTTAAAGAATACCAATTTCTTCGGCTTTTACTTTTACTTGTGTGTGTTTTGACAGCTTAAAGTGCAAATTATAGAAATCTACTTGTCTTCATTTGTTGTTGTTTGTTTGTTGGTGTTGTTGTCACCACTATTATTTGTATTGTCTACTGGATTTGCTTTGGGTAAAGAATAAACAATGCCATATTCGGATTACGTACCAGCGGTCATATTGCCAAATATATCACCTTTGCCTATATAGTGCGCCACAACATTTTTTATGGGCCAAACAGAACGTCTTTTTGGCGGTGGCTTCGGCTGTCTGGAAAGAGAAGAGAGAAAGAAGAAAACCAAAAAAACCAGTTGAATAAACATTCCAAAACAAAAAAAGAAAGAAACTAGTGAAATATATATACATTTAATACATAGACTGAAAAAAAACAAATGTACAAAAAACAGTTGTGTCCATTATAGATGTATGTATGCATGTTTGTTAGGCAAACATGAATATATATGATTTTGCAAATTTCCTGGACAAAATATATGCGTAGCCAACAAAAAATTCTGTATATGAAAAATTCATCAGCAAAGATATTTAATAAACCTAATTACTACATAAATTCCCACTCGCATGAAGACGACGCACAGTGGTTTGTAGGATCTTGTAATGGAAAATTCATTCAACATTCACAATTCAAAAGAAGAAAGAAGTTTCAGGCAACACGAATGGTGGCTGGTGCGTCTAATTATTCTTAACACCGTAAATTCCTTAACCATGGACATGGTAAGTCCATAGGTTATCCGGAGATCAAGAAAAGAGGAGCTGCCGCCACAGTTAAGATTGTGTGATATTGCAAATGTAATCAGAAGTGCAAAAGCACCCAAGCACTTTGCCTGGATCTTTATGGTAATATTGCAGGTTTATCGACAATGACGAGAATTTGTTATTAGCCATTCGCAAAATTCTAGCAAAGGCGATCAACAGCGAAAATATTTAAGGGATGAATCAATTCAATTAAAAACCATTTCATGAAATTTGTACTTCATGATCACATAAATAACTTATAACAAATTGGATTATTTTTACAAGAAGTTTTATGTCAAGTAAAACTAATATCACGAATTTCTTTTTTTTTTTTAATTCGGCAGCTAGCATCAGTTGGGCATGCAATGCGAAACAGGAATACAGGGGTTATGCCGGGGAAGATGGTATTAGAACCTTCCGCAATGGTAAATATTTTTACATGTTTTTAAATGGATTTTTGGGTAAGTTGCTTCAAGGAGAAGATAAGCAGAGTCGCGGAATCGCATAACTTTCACTTTTGTAACACTACACAATCTTCTGACGATGTTAATTAATAACGTTTAAAAAGTGCTCGTTAATGAATCACATTTCTTAGCATGCCCAAATTGTCAATCATGCCAATTTTATCTGTGACAGGATTAATCGTTGCTTTTGGTGATAAATGAAATTCTAATCGAACTGGAACACGGCGGGACAAAGGTCGTGGCTTACGCCGATGATGTGGTCTTGCTGATTGCTGCGAAATTCTCGCAAACTGTTTCAGATGTATGCAGGGAGCTCTAGTTAAATTCTCCAGATGGTCACGCTGCAATGGACTTGGCGTGAACCCATCCAAAACTGAGCAACTGGAGCAACTCTTTTCGCTACCAATACTTGATGGTGTTATACTAAGCCTTTCTTCGGAAGTCAAATACCTCGGTACCATCCTAGACCAGAAAGAGGAAAAGGAACATCGAGAAGCGAGCGAAGAAGGGCTTAATTGCACTTTATTCCTTCAAAAACTCCATAGCAAAAAGCTGAGGTCTTCAAGCCTCACATAATCAAATGGTTATATGAGTCTGTCGTCAGACCAATTCTAACCTATGTGAGGCTTGTTTGGTGGCAGTCCTTAGGGAAAACCACGTTCAGTAAAAGCATTGATAAAGTTCACCAATCCGCACTAGACACCCTACTCAATTTAAAACCGTTACGTTTATTTGTAGGGGAACAAGCTGCTAGGTGTGCCCTGCGACTCAACGAGCAGGGACAATGGCCGAGTCAGCCCTTTGAACACTCCGTCATTCCCAAATATGTGGGAAGCATAGTAAATCAGGCTAAAGCTAGCGATTATATACCACCTAGGCACAGCTTTGAACTACTTGATATCCATATACCTAACAGAGACACCTGTACACGCGACACTCCATCTTTTAACGGTATATCTGTCTATACTGATGGGTCAAAGATGGAAAGTGGAACGGGAGCTGGGGTCTTGGAAAGTCTAAGTATCCAACGATCCTTCAAACTAACAACGACTGTAGCATTTTTCAGGCAGAAATCTTTGCTTTCAGGAAGGCCAAAGAGCTGCTAGCAAATAGAATCAATGGACGGACCAGTGACTTCTAAGTCTATAGTCAAGCAGCCCTGAAGGATCCAAATGCATTTACAATCAAATCTATGGCAGTTCTGGAATGCAGGAATGCTCTGGAAAAGGTTAAATCGTTTGTCAAACCCTGACACTGAATACTGCAGGCTTTGTCAGGACGAGAAAGAAACTGAGACGGTGGAGCACTTACTCTGCCACTGCCCAACTCTTATAGGAGTGAGGCAGAGACTACTGGGTAAGCAAATTCTGCCAGACTTGTCCTCCCTCTCCGACATCGAACCAGCAGTCATTCTTCTGTTAGCCAGAGGGACTCCAAAGCGAAATCACATGTCAGCCAAAATCACATGTCAGTCATCTTAGCAAAACAAAGAAAGAAAGAAGTTTTAGCATAATTAGGATCGGTTTTTTCAGGCACAATGCCAAACATTTGCCCGATATGGGTTACTGGTTCACATGACACATGACACTGCCTATGCAAACGTACTCAAGTAATCCCAACCTCGTTTTTGTTCTGTTTCTGAAGAAGTTCGAGTAATGTATTTTTAAAACAGACGTGCTAACATAACGTTTCTGGTTCAGGGGTGTTATTTCCAACAAAAAACACAATTCTTAATCAGAGCCATCTACGTTAGAAATTTTAAAACCAGAACATTTGAAACAAAAATCTGGCGGTACTGCTATTTTCCAAAACATGGCACCATAAAAGTGTGGGTACTTAAACAGTACGACATCATTGCTATGCATATTAATGTCAAACTATAAGGAAAACGACGACAGGATTCGAGGGTGGCTCTGGCATCCCTTTATAAGACCTCGAGCTGCTTCAAGTATTCAAAACTACTAATGTCTGACAAAAATTCTTCATTAAATAATGTTGATTCGGCAAATTATGTATCATTTTTGGCGGTTAGCATTATTAAACGAAATTTCAAATAATTAAATTTACTTTAAATTTTAATGTCATTGAAAATCACTGTGCGACCATATGGAACTGAATACACCTTACCTCAAGTTAACTGTATTGTAATGATAATGCCCGCAACAGCGAAGAAGACCAAATTGAATGCAAAACACTGCAATACAACTGTATAAGTCAGAGGTAGGTATACACTTTTCAGTGTTTCTCAATGAACGGCTCTATGGATGGTTGAACGATTGAGGAACTTGTGCACCGATGTACATACATACGCTTGATATACGTACAAACATGCCTACAAAGTGGCAAAGCAAGAAGTAAACAAGTAGTAAATTGCAATATTGAATTGAAATTGCCTATGCTGATCATTTTTGGTAAGACAGTCATGTCCAAACTTTGGCCTTATTGTTCTCGATTTCTCTTCATGCTACCTTCATTTTATCATCAAAAGTCTTTAAAGGTTTTTAACCTGTATTGCATATTTAAAGCATATCAACAAATAACAAACAAAACGAAGAAACAACTACAAACTGGTTTTCGAGCGAAAAATGTTAATAATCAAAATTTCAAAATAGACGATAGGCTATTTCGAAGAATAAAAAACAAAAAATCCATTTATTAAATAAAAGTTGATTTTGCTTCTTCTATTAAATATAACTGTGTAAATATGCAGTTCATGAATAAGTGCATAATTACATACATATTTGTCCCCGCCTTCAGAATGTCTCCAACAATGAATTCTATTTTATTTCTATGTTGATGTTATCTCTGCGGAACCAAATTTCTTGGCATGACTTGCTTTACGTTAAACTCTCCCGTTTAGAATAACAAAAGTAATTAATTTAGCATGACATGCAAACTTAATTGAAGGAGATGAAACTCTCCATGGGAAAACAATGCACATTGGGAATGCAATGCACTTGTAAATTTTAGAATTTTTATATTTTCCTACTTTTAACCTTTATTAGTATTCATTGAATTGGAAATTATTTTCCAAGGTTTGAAAATGGAAAATCGGGACTTGTTAAACAGTAATTTGTAAATGCATTCTTTAAATATTTATGAGCAAGTTATTTTTAAAGGTTTGCATTTAAAATATTTAAAAATGGCTACGATATGCATTCGATCTATATGAAATGAAACCACATTTTCGTATAAACTACTAATTAACCACGAACATTTACTAAGTTGATGATCTTGTCAATCGAAAACTTTTCAGCATGCATTTAGCCACCAATTAACATCATAAAAGCCACAAATTTATGGACGTCCCTGAAGATGGCTTTGGATGCTGCCCGAAACAAATTAATAAAAAAAGATGTAAACAATATTTTTTTTAAACAATAAATGACCTTGAACGCAAAATAATACCAAAGCCAATTAAGGTAAAAGTCGTTGAACAACAAAATGCCTTAACGAAAACTGAACAGTTAGTGTTGGGATATAAATTTAGTTTATATCAAGATACCCAATGCGATATCCTGGACAATGTGTATTGCTGATGGTGATGTTAAAAAGGAAACATTCTTTCTTGTCATTATGTTACACAAGGAAGAAAAATAACAGAAAAAATTATTATATAAAAAATGTTTATTCTCAAAAAATGAAATCTAAACGGATATAAACCAGATGTAGAAAAATTTGGTCAGAGAACAAAGTGATCGATTTGAAATTGGAATTTAGGCTAAATTAAAATAAGTAAACAGAGCATATCTGACATGTAACGGAAACTAATTCGATTTGGTAATCGAAATAGGAGGTATTTTAAAGTTTGAATAGATTTCTGTGGGATCTATAAAAAAGTTGAACCTTATTTGAATTTTTAAACAGGAAAATATTCACAATAATATCGAAGTACTAATTTTATTGTCAAGCTGTTGTCAAAAATAGTCTTCTTGCCCGACCTTGTATTTGCCTTGGTACTGACAATGATTCACATCGTCTCATGTTCAATAAATCACAACCAGGAAAACAATGTAGAATATTAAAACCGTTCAACCAAACACAATAACTTCACTGGAGTCCAATGATTTCTTAAGATTTTGAGTAAATTATGATACTTTAAATTACAATAATATTTACTAGTCATGAGAATAATTAATTTTAAATTACCATTCACCACTAATCATTGATCTTACAATGGAAGAGTGGAAAGTTCTTCTTCGTGTCAAAAACATAATTAACAAATCAAGTTCTAATGACCTTTTCGAAATTCTTACGACTATCAACACAAATTCTAACAATTTAACCATTTTTGGATCACCAATTATTAAAAAAATCATTTACATTTTTACAAAATTAAATTCATTATTTCAAAACCACAAAGATTTTAAAATATAAACAATATGTGCGTGTGCCAATCGTTTGACCATGGCTGGGTGCGAGAGATTGATCACTTTCAAAATTCATAAAGCTTTATAGGTATGAATCCATTGTTATTACTTGGAAGTATGTCTACGATTTACATTTGTATTTCCATTGTTAATGTGCATTAACGCTTGTTGTTGTTGCGTTGTTGCTGTTGTCATAGCATGGTGATGGCTTAATGCCCCTGTTGTTCACTCAAGCGTGATTGCCATATGGCATATATTTTGGTAAATAGATTGGCTGGTCAGCAAAGATATTGCTGGTGCATTACATGCATTCTTGTGTTTTCTTTTTTTTCTTCCAAACCGTTTGGACACTTACAACTGTTCCTGGTTAATCGACTGCATACTCGTCACATACAAGTTGATGCTGAAGGCAAACATGAAGAAGGCGAAAAACAACAGGAAGAGATACAATAGCCATAGCTTCTTGAGTTGCTGGAAACGTAGACCCATTATGTTACGTTTAAAAAGACTTCTTCGCGTCGATAGTGGCGTAATTTTGGACGAATTATTTGTCGACGACGACGATGATCACCACTGGCAAGCAACAAACCCGTTCCGTTAAAACGCGGCATAAAACTTTAAAACGTAGCCACGAATAAATTAACCGGTGACCGACAAAGTGTTGGGCGAGATGTGTTTACAATGACCGTTAACTGCGGAATGGGAGACTATCTTACGGTCGTGCTCACTTATACAACTGATATGGTTCGCTCGGTGTGTTTTGTTTCTTCAGTCACAACATTGATGAGAGTGTAAGTGGCTCTCAATAACCGGCAGTAGTTCTATGTTTATTCCAGAGAGGTTGCTTCACAAACTAGAAATGGTTGGGAATAAAAAATTATAATTTCTTTAGGAGTTGTTACCAAACATTAAGAGAGAAATAAACTGTTAATAGTGGAGTTATAACGGTACGAGTCGAATGTCTTTTACCCTAAAACACGAGAAAAAATTAAAATACGTGACCATAAAAATGTTATTCTACAATTAATTAATTTATTAATTGGTTATGCAAATCTGAATCTGATATAGAATTATAAGCCTCTGCAATATAATTTGAAATAGAAGACTCAATCCTTCTATGCTAAAAAAAAAAAAAACAAATTTTCGGTTTTCTTCCAAGGGGTTGTTTTGGGTTTTGTATGTTCGCCTTGTACCGGCATTGTTAGCGAAAGCCATTTTATGGCAAACGTTACGAACTATAAGTTTCAATTTGCGTTCAAACATAGTAAGGAAATGGTTTATGGAAATAATAGTGAATAAAAGCATTGAACGTCAAAAACATGGAGTCATAGATCTGGCAATATGTCGACAATGTGTGGCATACTTCTGTCAAAAGAAGTTAGCAATTTCTAAAAAATAATTTTATAGACACCATGACACAATTACAGAAGGTAGAACAAAGCTACATCTCAAATACATTTTTCTTTTTTTGTCCCTATTTTTTCAAAACATGTATAAAGAAAACAATTTGAAAATATTTCAAATTCAATTGGACAACAATCTGTACAATTTTAGGATAAAACATTTGACCAGAACTGAAAGAATGTTAAAGTTTTTACTACGATAACCAATTTTCTTTTTATTGGATCGAAAAAAATTGTCAAACTAGTAGCTTCTGGCAGGTTCTGGAACCGACCAAATATTGTACTTGTATTTTGGATCCAATTCGTTGAATAATCCCATAGCCATACATGTTTTGTTGTTTATCCCTCAAAATGAGAATTTGAACATTTTCTGTTGAAAAAATTTCACCTATGCATGGCCTATATAAAACGACCAGTAAGTCCATCTGACAGCTAATTTTGTTGTCAAAAAACATATCGAGATTTGAATTAAAAGAGAGTCAGTTCACAATAGTGCAAAAACTATGGTATAATGAGGACAAGGTAGGCTAACTTTGAAAAAAAAAAGCAAATATGTTTGGTTGTTTGGCTTGTAATGTCAGAATCACTTTCAAAACAATCAAAAATTAAAAATCCAAACAACTTGTTGCATTGTGTTTGAATAATTAAAAACTGAATGAAAGGTCAAAATTATTTTCAAAATCATGTACCATATATATCTAAGGATTTATTTCGCTACATACATTCGATACATACGTTCCAAAAAGAATTTTCAAAACACCAGAATTTGAATATTTTCAGAACAATTTTTTTTATTATAGAAAAGAAAACATACACATAAACAAATAAAGTTGACATATTAAGCCAAGAAAATAAAAAGCAATTTTAAAATTTTTGAAAGAAAATGCATTCGTCTTTCGTGCTTTTTAACACAATTAAAAATGAGGAAAAATATGAAAACAAATGAGAAAAGCCTTTTACATCTACGGAATATTTTACGGAGCTGTTTCACCTTAATATTGTACCCTGAAAATCGCCAGAAATATGTATGCAACAAGGTATGTTTGCTTGATTATTTGAATAAATAAACAAAATGCGGAAACAGGGTGAAAGGACTTATTTCTTTTCAGATTTATGTTATATATATCATTAATTACAAAAACATCAAATTTTCTCCACACAATACTTTTATTAAGCATTTTTGTTATAACCGAACTTGGTAACTTTGGAGATTGCCATCCTAATAAAATTGATTTATCGGCCTTATCCATCCGTGCTATCACTCAAGACAGGTTTTTAATTTCAAGAAGAAGACAATTTGGTAACATCTCTTTGAAGTAAATAAGAAGAAGAAGAACAATTTGTTAGGCAAATAGGCCCCCTCTGTTCGAGTGATTTGTTGTCCCATATGTGCAAGGCGGTGAGCTTTCCTTACTTTAATTCTTCTAACTTATTCATAACACCCACACAACTAACACACCTTCGATGAGCAATAAAATCAAATTTGTAATTCTTCCACCATAACACTCATTTTATATTATTTAATTTTCTGCCACAAGGGCATATAAACAAAACACACCGAACACGCACTTAAGTTAGCCAGGTTTTTATTTATAATTCTTTTTGTTTTGCAAAACAAACAAAATATTCACAACTAGGGATAACTAATGCGACTTGAGTTTCAGACAACAAACGTCATTTTGGTCGTTAGAAAATCGAATAATCGATTTTTTATATAATCGATATTTTTGTGTAGCTCGCACATTGTTCACATGCGACTTTTAACATAACTTTATTAATTTATTCGTTATTACAAATTTTTTTTTGAATGTAATGCAAGCTACACACAATACAACCGTTGGTACAACCTGGAGAGTTGTCAAGTTGTATGCTTCGGCCACAAACGATAAAACTTTGTGTACAATCTCTTTGTACAACTTCACTTTTCGTAGATTTTAATCGAGTTAAGATGGCACCGGAAAAAATTCATGTTCTATAATTGGCTCAATAGCCTTTTTTATACCCTACACCGCATAGTGGTAAGGGTATTATGTCTTTGTGCATTTGTTTGTAACATGGAGAAGGAAACGAGATAGACCCATAGTTACTTTTGAGAACCTTCATAGAATCACTTTCTGAGTCGATTTATGCATGTCCGTCCGTCTGTCCGTCCGTCCGTCTGTCCATGTATTCTTGTGAACAAAATGCAGGTCGCAGTTATTATCCGATTGAGATGAAATTTTCCAAACAATATTTTTTTGGCCCAAGGACGAACCCTATTGAAATTGGTGAACATCGGATCAAATTTAGATATAGCTCCCATATATATCTTCATCCGATTTCGGGTTAAATGAGCACCAAATGTTCACTATCAGTCCAAATTACCTGAATTTTGGCACACCCAACCGAGTTCGGCCTAGAAGCAAGTATATCAAATTTGGAGAAAATCGGTTCAGATATAGCTATAGCTCCCATATATATCTTTCATCCGATTTGATCTTTAAGTCCCTAACATTCCTACTATGCACTCCACAACCGTGATATTTGGTACCAGGTATTAGATGGAGCACAGAAATAGCTGTTTTAAATTTTATCGAAATCGGTTCAGATTTGGATATAGCTCCCATATATATCTTCATCCGATTTCGGGTTAATTAACCACCAAATGGCCAATATCAGCCCAAATGGCCCGAATTTTGGCATATGTGACCGAGATTAGCCTTAAAGCAAATACAACAAATTTGGACAAAATCGGTTCAGGAACAGCTATAGCTCCCATATATATGTTTTATCCGATTTGGTGTTTAAGCCTCTCACATTCGTAATATGCACTCCACAAGAATGATATTTGGTACCAGATATAAGATACAGCCCAGAAATAGCTGTTTGTAATTTTATCGAAATCGGTTCAGATTTGGATATAGCTCCCATATATATCTTCATCCGATTTCGGGTTAATCGTGCACCAAATGGCCGATATAAGTCCAAATGGACTGAATTTTAGTACATCGGACCAAATTCAGCCTAGAAGCAAGTATATCAAATTTAGTGAAAATCGGTTCAGATATAGATATAGCAACCATATATATGTTTCATCCGATTTAGTGTTTTAGTCCCATACATTCGTAATATTCATTCCACAACCGTGATATTTGGTACCAGGTATTAGATGGAGCACAGGAATAGCTGTTTTAAATTTTATCGAAATCGATTCAGATTTGGATATAGCTCCCATATATATCTTCATCCGATTTAGGGTTAAATGTGCACTAAATGGTCAATATCAGCCCAAATCACCTGAATTTTCGTACATAAGACCGAATTCAGTCTAGAAGCTAATACGTAAAATTTGGAGAACTCCGGTTCAGAGATAGCTATAGAATTAGATAGAATTAGATAGATTTTGATTTTGTACCAAATATCTCATAGAGCTCTGAAATGCCCTGTATAAACCTTTTTACGAGAGCTCTACTAAATATGCATAGTGGTGTAGGGTATCATATAGTCGGCCCGCCCGACTTTTGAGCTTTCCTTACTGGTTTTGTATTAATTTTTGAAATTCCATTTTATATATTAAAATTCAATTTTATATGTACATTAAAACCACACATTTGATTGGATTTCGTGTTGTTTTGATGTGCGACAACAATTGCTCTGATTCGGAATTTCAAAAATGAAAAATATATTCTTTATGATATCCTTTATTTCTTTATGGATCAGGGCAAGTATTTTTGAAGTATTTGCGGGTGTTGCACCTTAAAAAAATCTGTTGCGAGACATATGCTATACGCCCGAATCAATTGGTATGTTCCAGAACAGCAAGAATGTAAAACTTTTTACTATGTTAACCGAGTTCTTCGAAAAGAAATTGGAAATCTGATAGATTTATGCAGGTTCTGGAACAGAGCTAATCTGTGGTGTATCTCAGAACTGCAAGAATATTTACTGCTATAACAAATCCTTCATTTAGGATATTGAAAAAATGCAAAATTAGTAAATTGTTCTCTGTTCCTGAACCTGCAAGAACCTACTAGTTTTGCAATTTTGGCCGATATCATAAAGGGAAAATCGGTTATCGTAGTAAAAACTTTTACATTCTTCCAGTTTTGGGACAAACCAAATGTAAAAGTCATTTCAAATAAGCATATCCATAGATGTATTTTCTGTAATTTACCTTCTTAAATTTCACTGAAAAGAAAGCATATTACCACCTCTGATTTGTGTGTATACAATGAATTTGTAAATATAAATGTTGATAATGAGATGTTGTCAAATGAATAATTTTGAAAAAAAAATGTAAACATGTGATTGCATGACTTAACCTTCTTTGTTCTACCATGGGAATATCCATGGCACAATTACAGAATGTAGAACAAAACTTCCTCAAAAATATAATTTTCTTTTTTTGGTGCCCCTATTTTGTCAAAACATTTTGAATAAAAATGAAAATAATTTGAAATTGTTTCAAATGTAGATGGAACAGAAATATATATTTTGCACGTCTCTGAAGTTGTACAACCTTGCGTATTGAGCCATGGGCATATGCATCTCGGTATACAAAAAGTAATATAACTCAATAGACATTTATTTACAAAGAGGTCACCAGGACCTGGATTCCTGTTCTTGAAATGAAAATATATCCCTTATACTATTTTCATTTGACATATCTTTTTTTTTATAAAAGTTTTCATTTCACATTTTCATAGAAAAATAATTGACGTCCAAATGTCAGTGCTTAATTTCTGTGCAAGCCTAATAGACATAAACCATAACGTGCAGCACATTAAGAGCTTTTTTCAATGGCTTAAGTCATCGACTGGCTTCTTAATAAAAGAGCGAAATAGTTTTAGGTTGACAGAGTACAATTTCGGCCCATAATTTATACGTAGATTCTGGATTTGCAGCAGTTGTTCATGCAGGCAGCGTACGAAAATAAACTTTACTAAACGTTTGCAATCGTTTTGTTCCGCATTTTCTTGAAGAACGAAACGGAACACAGCTGATATTAAGATAACGGGACTTCCTTTGTATTTTGTTCTGTTTGTGTAGATGAGTGGAAACAAAAACAAAACTGAAATGTACTCTGCTGGATGAGGCAACATTGGAAACGGAACAGTACAAAACTCATTGCAAACGTTTGCAAACGTTTCCCTGTATATTTACCCATTACAAAAAAGTAAAACCTAATATTAATTTAAATTCGTGTCTTTTTATTTATTTATTACGTCCATAATACAATGGAAACAGTGTAAAAAACAATATTTACAATGACGACTATAAATATAGCAGTCCTCATTTCGCTCAGCAAACGTTTGGAAACGTTTTCCGGCGATTCGTTCGCAAACGATACAGCTCGGCAAATCACAGCCGAAGTACAATAAGGCAATCGTATTGTTTGTGTACTTCTTGCATTGAAATGTTTTTGGTATTGTTTGTTTGAAGTACAAAACGATTGAAAATAATTTTAAAGTTTGTGACTTCGTGGGAGCAGTACCTTATTGGTTTCGTTTGTTTTCGTTCGCTGCATGCAGGTGGGTTGTTAAAACGCTTAAACAAAAAAAAAGTTACTAAACAAAACATATACAAATTTTGGCATATCGTCTGATTGTTGTAACACCATACTATAGTGCCATGGCCATAGGACATACTACTACATTAATGTGAGCGGCTACGATATAAACAAACTTTTTTCAGAGCCTCTGCTTTTCATATAATGCATACACCTCATTTAATACACCTGGATTTGGAGTATTTTCAATTAGAAATCTATTGTGAATGGGTTAATCAATAATATAAATAAAATTGTTTATGGGCGGCGGCATCTAGTGGACAATAGCTTTACTATTCTAATGAATTACATTAGAGCATAATTTTAGGCATATTGAGTTTGACCAACTCATTTGCGTTGTCGGTTAATATCATGATCTCTTTGATTCAATAGCTCCATATGTGTGTGGATAGATCGGCCAAAATTGCTTCGCTGTAAATATTAACATACAATTTTTGTGTACAGCAATTTATGAGAAAATTAAAAAAGTATATATATCAAAGGCCCAGGTTGAAGTTGTGATTTTATATTTTTTGATGTTATGAGGGTTTATTTTACAACATTCAACCAAATATCAATGGTGTCATAACCTATCTATTTCACTTTTAAATACTAGCAAAAGCGCATTGCCAAATAATGGGTTGTCCTTAGTAAGTTTTGGTACCCTCAACTAATTATAAAATGGCTTACTAACCCCTCTCAGAGAGATCGAGAAAAATTGAGCTGTAATACCAAACTTTTGTAATTTAGGAGTGCGTTTCGTTGGCAGCCTAATTGGACCAGAGTGCTGGAAGAACACTTACAGATATAGGAGCCTTTTTTTCGGCAGTATTGTTTCATGCACTTAGTCTTCCAGTCTCCTCATATAATTTAATGTAATACTATGATAACTCTGAACTTTCCCCCACTCTTCAAATAATATTTGTGATAAGAAATTTTATATGGAACAAACTGTACATTTTATTTAAATTTTAATTAGCATTAATACAAAATATAATAATTACAAAATACTGTTCTAATTTTCTGGCATACACTGTTTTAGATATGTATAATTTAAATTTACATTTTTTATATACATTGTTGTGATTTGCAATCAAATGCTTTGCCTAAATATCTTCGAAAGTGTTTTGAAAATAAATACAATTTTATTTTAGGAACTAAGTTTCGTCGATTGAGTACCCACTTCTCAGTGATAATATTTTCGTCTTTCGATATTTTGTAATGTTATTGCCAGCATTCCACCAACCAATGCCGATACTCCCTATTAAAGAAGTGAAAATAGATTAATGTTAATTAGATTTACAAATGATTTGACAATGTTACGTCTTACCTCCAAACCGGCCAAAGTCCAATCACTTATTTCTTCAATTCGTTGATTGGATGAAAACATTGCATTAAGTTTGTCAATGCAACCCACATCGAGGAGATTTGTATCGATGCGATTATTATGATTTCTATAACAACTGAGGGGTATTGTTACATTCAGGTCTGTGTAATCCGAAGGTCCAAATTTTCCACAACATTCATACTATATGAAAGAAAAAAAAAATAAATTTTTAGAAAATATTCTAAGTTTAATATTTATGGGGAACCAAGGACTAGAAGTAGGGAAAGACTCAAACCCGGAGACATCAATAAATAAAAGTTCGGATTTAAATCTTAATTTAGTAAATCCTTATTCACATAATATGTTTCATAAATCATTTTAAAATTAAATTATATGGCTATGTTTTAAGGTAGTATCAATTCGAAAATACGTGCGGGCAGACAAGTTGATAAAGAAGGGATTTATAAACTCAATTGTAATATAAATTTAATTATATTTATATTAATATTTTGAACACTTTCGGACCCACCTTTATTTCATACGAAGTCATTAGATAATCCTTTTTGATGTCGGTGACATTCCACGCCTTGTCAATTACTTCAGTCGAAAAGTTATTGAAATTAATGGGTTGTACAAAAATCACAGCAATTTGAGCTGCCATCAGCAGTAACATTATTATGGAGTACTAGAAAAAATAAATTCCATTAAATCTTAATTTTTTTTATTATCTATGACAAACGACACTTACAGCCCATGTTGCTTTCGCAGATTTCTTTTGGGCGCCACAGCACCCCAAAATACTTGTGAGAAATAGAATGCAACTTAAGACACTGCTCACGATGCAGGGTATTTTGACAGCTTCACTAAATTCAAATTCGATTAGTGCAAAAATACATGCTGATAATGTCAATACCCCAAGTATCTGAAAAGAAAAAAATCAAAAATTAAAAAAAAAAAAACATTAAGGAAAAGTCAAAAGTCGGGCGGGGTCTATTATATGATACCCTACTCCACAAGGAATATTTAGTAGAGCTGCTGTAACAAAAGAATTTATTTGAAATAGATCATATCACCATATGTCTTTAGAGCAATTATAGTTTGGTTTCAGAGGGAACTCATATATAGGAGGCATATACGATTCTGAATAGATTTTCAGTACATTTGACGGAGGCATTTTAATCTTTTATACCAAATAACATCATAAAGTACTGTTTTTGTGTTCTAAACGCAACTAAATTTGGTATTGGGTGAAGAGATAGAGCATTGATATTGAGGTCGCTGTTGGGTTCAAAAATTCACATGTGGAGAGATTGAAATAGTTTCGGACAAAAAAAAAAAAAAAACAAAAAACAAGTTAAAAAGCAGTAAGTTCGGCCGGGCCGAACTTTTAATACCCTCCACCATTTGCAACGAATTTGGAAATTTTTAAAAAATAAAATCCTTAAAAATTCTGTTAAAATTTTAAAAATACCGAATATAGCCGTTATATTGGGGTCTATACGACGTGGACATACATAGGCATTGTTTGTCATAAGCCATTAAGCAAATTCGAAACTTGAAATAAACGGCGAATAATGTAGCTAAAATCATCAAAATATCGTATATAAGGAGGTGCCGTTGAATTGGAGCTGTGCGAAGACCTGGACCAGCATAGACAATTTTCTGTCACAGGCTGTAGCATCTATTACGAACTTCAAATACCACATCTCAAACAACTTCGGTGGGTATTGTACCTAAAATCGTCAAAATACCGAATATAGGGAGGTACTGATATATGGGGCCTATACGAAGACCTGGACCCGCACAGACAATTTTCTGTCACAGACTGTAGTTCCCATAACGAACTTCAAATACCAATTTTGAAACAATTCCGGTGAATAATGTCGCTAAAATCATCAAAATACCGAATATAGGGAGGTACCGTTATATGGGGGCTATATGAAGATGTGAACCTGCACAGACAATTTTCTGTCTTAGGGTGTAGTATCCATTTTGAACTTCAAATACCAAATTTGAAACAATTCCCGTGAATAATGACGCTACAATCATCAAAATACCGAATATCGGGAGGTACCGTTATATTGGGGCTATACGAAGACGTGGATCTGCACAGACAATTTTCCGTCTTAAGGTGTAGTATCCATTTTGAACTTCAAATACCAAATTTGAAACAATTCCCGTGAATAATATCGCTAAAATCATCAAAATATCGAATATAGGGAGGTACCGTTATATGGGGGCTATATGAAAACGTGGACCTACATGGCCCATTTACGAACTTAACCTGCCTACTGGAAAAATAAACATGTGTGCAAAATTTTAGCCATCTATCTCAATTCATTCGAAAGATAGCGTGATTACAACAGACAGACAGACGGACAGACAGACGGACAGACAGACGGACAGACAGACAGACAGACGGACAGACAGACAGACAGACGGACATCGCTAAATCGACTTAGAATTTTACGCTAATCAAGAATATATATACTTTGTTGGGTCTGATATGAGTATTTCGAGGAGTTACAAACGGAATGACAAAGTTAATATACCCTCCGTAGTATGGTGGAGGGTATAAAAAAACAAGTAAGTAAAGGCTATAGTGCGGGGGCGACAATGTGATACCCTACAACACTACAATATGTTAGAAGCTCCCTCATGTCCAAATCCATTTTGGAAGATTTCGCTTTTGAAATAATGTCACGGAGCACTGCCCAGATATTTCCCTCAGCATTTTGACCAGGGACATTTGGCCAATATTTACGAACTCCGTCTTGCTGTTAGTTGTTGTGGTTCATTTCACGGCTAAATATAATTCAATGGTCACCCAAAATGCCAGAATTCTTCTCTGTGCTTAACTATCTTCTCAGGCGTGTCGATTGGTTTCAATTGTGTGATCAGGAAATTTTTTCTGTTTTTGGATCATTTGAACCCCTATATATTTTGCGATCATCTCCAAAAGCAAGAGGCCTTTCTGTGTGTCCAAATTTAAACTCATCTATATGATTTGCTTGTCAACGATATTTGGCTATATTCGTCAACGAAATCAACACAAAAAACAGAAGTTCGCCTTTTGTGTATTTCGGATATGGCACACAAAAGTAGTGGCCCATTCTACCCGCTGTCCTAAACTCTAACTTCATGCGAGATTTCGTGTTTCGTGTTCGTGGTTTCTATTTGTGACGTTTATAACGGCTGCAAAATCAGGAACATTTTGAGTTGCTGGTCCATTTTAACCTCTAAATATATTGCGGACATCTTTGAAAACAATAGGCTTCGCTCTTGTGAGCCAAACCCTACCTTTGTGAAAAATTTCGTGAGGATTGAATGAACTCAACTCACATTATTCACCGGAATTGTTTCAAATTTGGCATTTGAAGTTCATAATGGATACTACAGCCTAAGACAGAAAATTATCTGTGCAGGTCCACGTCTTCGTATAGCCCCCATATAACGGTACCCCCCGATATTCGGTATTTTGATGATTTTAGCGACATTTTTTAACGGAATCGTTCCAAGTTTGGTATTTGAAGTTCGCAATAGATACTTCAGCATAAAACAGAAAATGGGCCATGTAGTTCCACGTCTTCGTATAGCCCCCATATACCGTACCCTCCAATATTCGGTATTTTGATGACCTTAGCGACATTATTTACCGGGATTGTTTCAAATTTCGCATGTGAAGTTCGTAATGGATACTTCAGCCCATGCCAGAAAATTGTCTGTGCAGGTCCACGTCTTCGTATAGCTCCCATATAACGGCACCCCCTATATTCGGTATTTTGATGATATTAGCTACATTATAAATAGATTTTTCTTTAAGTTTCGCATTTAAATATTGCATTAACTTATGACAAAAGTTGCCTATGCAGGTCCACGTCGTCGTATAGGCATTCGGTATTTTAAAGATTTTAAAAGAATTTTTAACGGATTTTATTTTATTTTATTTTTTTGGAAATTGATAAATTTGTACCGAATGGTGGAGGGTACTAAAAGTTCGGCCCGGCCGAACTTATAGCTTTTTTACTTGTTGAAACTACATCTATGCATTCAAATCGAATGATGATTTTTTGTGGAATATTTGTTTTTTTTTTAATTTTACTATTTTTTATTTCCATGACTTTTTCAATCAAAATATAAAAATGTTACTTATAACATTTTAGGTATATTTATGATGTATTTTCATTTTTTCACATTTGTCCGATGCAATTTTTTAATTTTTGCTAACCATTAAAGAAATGTTAGAAACCTGGAATATTTTAAAACTTTTTACCAAATAATGCTGATTTTGATATACATGTACTTTTTTCTTTTCTACAAGTTTGACCAATAATAGCAACGGAACAATAACGGAAAATAGAACTTAATAATAAGACGGAATGAGTAACGGAAAATAAGTCTTTGCATGCGGCCTTGCCAAAAAGTGAATTGTAAATTCCAATTACCTTAGGTTGCCATAATTTTTAACATTTCTTATCTGAAATTTAGTTAGTTTTATCAAAAAATAAATAAATATAATAATACCAAAGTTTATCAAATAATTGTGAAAATAATGACTTTGTCAGACACCGTTACTGTTCTTCAGTCTAAACATTTTTTGTCAGGGAGTTCTAAAACATTGTACTCATATTTTATTGGCAAAGCAATTATTTATATTGAAAAATTAAAATTTCAAACCTGCTTCATTTTGTACGGTATGAGTATATATCAAAAAATGTGGAGTAGATATGTATGTACTTTTTTGCAGGTTCTGCCCAGTTTTCCTCATTCATTTCAAATTGGAATTGAAAACCTAAAAACTAGCATTTTGGTTTGATGTGTTACCATCACGTACGTCTTATCTTTTTAGCTTCTGTAAATAGTTAATATTTTATGAAAAAAAAAACAAAGAACATTCTACCTCAAGACTTCAGTTGATATGAAAACTAGTGCACTTTTTATGTACATATACATATATTCTAAAAAAATTATCTTGGATGACATAATTAGCTATATTCACACTAGATTTAACATTGTTGAAATATTGCAATGTGGGGAGTTAATAGAAAATCGAGGAATCCGAATTATTATTAGTTTTAAAATTTGGCATACAACACTATGCGACAAAATTCAATTTTGTGGTAAATCCAGTAAATTTTGAAAGAAGAGCTAAAAAACGAAGACATGTGTATCGGCATTTTGAAAGCTTACATTGAACAAAATAAATGGGACAAGTTCCCCCATTTTCCACAATTTTGCTAATTTTCGGATTAAGATTCCTTGGAACCCGTGTATTTTAGGTACATAGTGTCTTCGGCAATGTTGCAGATAAAAATACGTGGAATGTTTTGAACGCTCTAGCTAGACAAGAAATGGGTTTGTTGGCCTTTTTTAAAAGGTATCGTAGCAAGTCAAAATATGTTGCAACAATTTTTTATAAAGAAATTCTACTATTGGTACTAGAAGAAGTCAAGATTTCAAATTTTACCTAAATGTCAGGAATCCACACATAATACAAATACAACTCAGGGTTAAAGCCGCATTTTTTAAATTTTGTGCAAAAAACACCAACAAAGCACCATTTTAGAAGGATGCCGTCAAAGACAGAAGTATTCTTCTTCAAATTTTTCTATAAGTCACGAAGGGAAAGAAATCTTTTTTTCTACTGCACGTCAAAAAAAAAAAATGCATCAATGTTCTCAAAAAAAAATCCGAAAATATTCCTTAATTTTGTTTATCACTTTTTAAGGACCTTATCGAGTTGACGCCTATAAATATGTAAAATATAATTCAGTGGAAGCTTTTAAAATAAGAAATATTCAAAACAACATTTTAATAAATCTCAGAATGAACCATTACATTGTGACGACGTGTTTTCACTTTGAAGCTGGGGTAGGTTCAGCGGGGGCCAGAGTCGTCACAAAAATTTATTTGTTAGGACATAAAGAGAGAGAGAGCGAAGCAAAAATATTTTCTTAAAACGTTATAAATTTATTTCCTTAAATAACACTAAACACTACACTAAACACAATAAAATCACGTTCAGAACTTTTTACGAAGAACACTAAATCACAAAGTTCAGTCGAAATGTTAATAAACGGGTAGCAGTGGTGGCAGCTTGGCACAGCGGCGGCCCGATGAATAGGCGAGCGACGAATAGAGTGGCGGCAGCTTGGCACAGCGGCGGCCCGATGAATAGGCGAGCGACGAATAGGGTGGCGGCGGCTTTGGCACAGCGGCGGCCCGATGAATACGTCAGCGGCGAGTAGTAGTGGCGGCAGCTTGGCACAGCGGCGGCCCGATGAATAGGCGAGCGACGAATAGGGTGGCGGCGGCTGTGGCACAGCGGCGGCCCGATGAATACGTCAGCGGCGAGTAGTAGTGGCGGCAGCTTGGCACAGCGGCGGCCCGATGAATAGGCGAGCGACGAATAGGGTGGCGGCGGCTTTGGCACAGTGGCGGCCCGATGAATACGTCAGCGGCGAGTAGTAGTGGCGGCAGCTTGGCACAGCGGCGGCCCGATGAATAGGCGAGCGACGAATAGGGTGGCGGCGGCTTTGGCACAGCGGCGGCCCGATGAATAGGCGAGCGGCGAATAGGGTGGCGGCGGCTTTGGCACAGCGGCGGCCCGATGAATAGGCGAGCGGCGAATAGGGTGGCGGCGGCTTTGGCACAGCGGCGGCCCGATGAATACGTCAGCGGCGAGTAGTAGTGGCGGCAGCTTTGGCACAGTGGCGGCCCGATGAATACGTCAGCGGCGAGTAGTAGTGGCGGCAGCTTGGCACAGCGGCGGCCCGATGAATACGTCAGCGGCGAGTGGTAGTGGCGGCAGCTTGGCACAGCGGCGGCCCGATGAATAGGCGAGCGACGAATAGGGTGGCGGCGGCTTTGGCACAGCGGCGGCCCGATGAATAGGCGAGCGGCGAATAGGGTGGCGGCGGCTTTGGCACAGCGGCGGCCCGATGAATAGGCGAGCGGCGAATAGGGTGGCGGCGGCTTTGGCACAGCGGCGGCCCGATGAATACGTCAGCGGCGAGTAGTAGTGGCGGCAGCTTGGCACAGCGGCGGCCCGATGAATACGCGCACGACGAATCGGGTGGCGGCAGCTTGGGCACAGCAGCAGCCCGATGAGTACGTCAGTCGCCGTCAACGCAGCCCGAAGAATAGGGAGTATTGCTACAGCCCTCACTCGACCCTGCGTTCAGTCGCCGTCAACGCAGCCCGAAGAATAGGGAGTATTGCTACAACCCTCACTTGACCCTGCGTTCAGTCGCCGTCAACGCAGCCCGAAGAATAGGGAGTATTGCTACAACCCTCACTTGACCCTGCGTTCAGTCGCCGTCAACGCAGCCCGAAGAATAGGGAGTATTGCTACAACCCTCACTTGACCCTGCGTTCAGTCGCCGTCAACGCAGCCCGAAGAATAGGGAGTATTGCTACAACCCTCACTTGACCCTGCGTTCAGTCGCCGTCAACGCAGCCCGAAGAATAGGGAGTATTGCTACAACCCTCACTTGACCCTGCGTTCAGTCGCCGTCAACGCAGCCCGAAGAATAGGGAGTATTGCTACAACCCTCACTTGACCCTGCGTTCAGTCGCCGTCAACGCAGCCCGAAGAATAGGGAGTATTGCTACAACCCTCACTTGACCCTGCGTTCAGTCGCCGTCAACGCAGCCCGAAGAATAGGGAGTATTGCTACAACCCTCACTTGACCCTGCGTTCAGTCGCCGTCAACGCAGCCCGAAGAATAGGGAGTATTGCTACAACCCTCACTTGACCCTGCGTTCAGTCGCCGTCAACGCAGCCCGAAGAATAGGGAGTATTGCTACAACCCTCACTTGACCCTGCGTTCAGTCCAGTCCAGTCACCACAAATAGTCAAGGCTTATTGTTTGGCTTACTAAGACTCAATTCAACCGAGGTTGCGCGCCTTTTCTTCCTCCCAATCACACTTGACTTACCAGCCATCAACAGAAGACTGATCCCGATTGGGTGAAATGCGTCTCCTTTTATACCTTTTTGGCTGGACAACGATTGTTGTTTTCTCATGACAGCAGCTGATCCCAATCTGACAGTTTTGCGTAGTTCCGCCATTTGCCACCAGGGGTTCCAATGTTGTATTTTAAGTATACTTCTTTCTACTAGGGGACAATAATAATGTACCCCAAAAACGAAAGCATGACTTTTGGGCGTTACATGGCATCTCTTCCTCCCTCTGATTTTTGATTCCTTGATTTGCTTTCTCTATTGCTATTGGGTTTCAATAGCCAGGAAGCCCTAGGGTGTTATGTAACCTTTTATTTCTCCGACATGGGCACTTTGGTTCGACTATATCTCGGTCGAATAGGAAGGTATGTTAGAGACCAATTGCAGAAGTTCGGAGAGATACCTTCACTACCCCGTCTGCTGATATTATTATGCGGTACTGCTTGCCATCTTGTTTAACAATTCGCTTCAGTTTGTGTCCCTTTTTCCAATTGTTTTTAAACTTCTCGATACGGCTTTGTAGGTTTTCGGGATAATTTGGCAGTTCGAGAAATGTGTTATTGTTCACGGGATTGTCTGTCGAGGACGATGGCGTTGACTCAGTTGGGATTTCAGTGACTGGCAATTTGATTGTACTTGGTGTGCTATTATTCTCCTTCGCCCGTTTGAATTTTTTCGTGTTGGGGCTATCTTGCTCCATCGTGATGTTGAAATTTTGAGAATTGCGATGGTCTTTGAAGTATGGGCTTATATTAGGACACTGATTAGTTTGGGTATTGTCAATTTAATGTCTAAAAATAAAGTAAGAAATTATAATGAAATGGCATCACATAAACGTAAGTGGAACTACAATCAACATTCTACTTCTATGTCTACCATTTAATTTTGTTCTTCATAAAAAGGCTTAATTTCACTTAAGTGATGTTGTCTTTTCCTCGGACTACAACGATTACTGGAGATTGGAATTTTTGTACGACAAACGGCCCTCCGTATTTGGGCGCTAGTTTGGCGGCGAAATTTTCGACGGCCTTCGACTGAGGATGTAGACGAACTAGAACTTGCTCCCCAATCTTTGGTTTCCAAACTCGTCGTCTAAGGTTGTACTGTCTCCGCTGGTTTTGAGATGCTTTTGCCAAGTTTCGACGCACTATCTTAAATATTTCTTTCAACTCCTGGGCCCGGTCTTCTGGTAAGACTATTCTAGCACCAGTTCCTGTTGTGAGCTGATCATATAATGCCTGGGGCAGTCGCGGTTCTCTTCCTTGTGTCAGGTATGCCGGCGAATATCCAGTGGATTCTGATGCACTAGTGTTTATGGCTAACATTATTTCGGGCAGCATATCGTCCCATGTATTATGTTGTTTCGAAACTTGTGCTATCATTGTTTTCACTGTCCGATTTGTCCTTTCAGTAGGGTTCTCTTGCGGGGTGTAAGGAGCCGTAAGTTGATGCTTTATACCCATTTCTGCTAGGAATTTTTCGAATTGGTTGCTAGTGAATTGGGTTCCGTTATCAGTTATCAATATTTTTGGAACCCCATATCTAGAAATAATTCTTTCTCTGCATGCCTTTATTAATCCCTCTGTCGTAGCCTTCCGCAATGGAACCAACTCCGTCCATTTTGAGAATCTATCCATAATAACGAGTAGCATTGAGTTACCGTGCTTAGATCGCGGTAGGGGTCCTACGAAGTCCGCACAAATAGTGGCCCATGGTTCCTCCGGGATTCTTATCAACATTTCCCCTGCTGGTTTCTGTTGGCTGACTTTATATTTTTGGCAACATTCGCACTGCTGGACATAACGTTTGATGTCCTGGAACATACCAGGCCAAAAATATCGGTTCGCCACCTTGTTGCTAGTCTTTCGCACTCCCAAATGACCTCCGGTGACACTGTCATGATTTTCTCTAAGGACCTGAATCCTTGATCCGGTGGGCACACACAGCTTCCATGGTGTGCAATCTTCATCGTTTATTTGCTTGGGAAGATGTCGATAAACATTTCCCTCAATGATTGTATAGTCTGGATACTTCTTCGGATTCTTGGTTATGGTTTCCTTCAACTTTTCTAGCCATGGGCACGGACTGGTGTCATATTTTACTGTGGCTAGGTCTAACGTTTCCAAAGGTGTTCTCGAAAGCGCATCCGCCACAACGTTCTGTTTTCCTCTACGGTATCTGATCAAAAAATTATATTGCTGTAGCTCGAGAGCCCAACGTGCGAGTCGACCTGTAGGGCTTTCAATAGAATTTAACCATTTTAGGGCCAAATGATCGGTAATAACTATAAACTGGTAACCCTCTAAATAGGGTCTCATGTGTCTGATGCCCCACAGTATGGCTAGACATTCCTTTTCAGTCGCTGAGTAGTTCTTTTCAGCCTGTTTTAAATGTCTGCTGGCGTAGGCTATGACACGTTCCACGTTATCTAACTCCTGTGTTAGAACTGCTCCAAGGCCATAGTTGCTGGCATCAGTTTGCAATATGAACGTCTTTGTGAAATCCGGACAAGCCAGAACGGGGGCTTCAGTTAACTTTGCTTTTAGGTCTGAGAATGCTTCTTGTTGTTCGGGACCCCACTTCCAATGTTTTCCCTTTTTAAGAAGACTAGTCAATGGTTGTGAAATTGTTGCAAACTGTGGGACAAATCTTCGGTACCAAGATGCTACTCCAAGAAATCTTCGTACCTCCTTTACCGATGTTGGAGGTTTCATTTCCACTATTGCGGCAACTTTATCTGAATCCGTCTTTATTCCCTCGCTACTCACAACATGGCCTAAATACTTCGTTTCTTTTCTGAAAAATTCGCATTTCTCAATGTTTATTCTCAGGTTAGCTGATCGCAATCTTCTGAACACTTCTCTCAAGTTCCGCAAGTGTTCCTCAAACGTTTTTCCAATGACGATGATATCGTCAAGGTATGCAAAAGCGTGGGGGTCCATTTCAGGCCCAATCACACTATCTAATGCCCGTTGGAAGGTTGCCGGTGCTGAATGCAAACCGAAAGGCATCACTTTCCACTGATATAGACCTTTACCAGCTACCGCAAAGGCCGTGTATTTTCTGCTCTCCTTCGCCATCGGTATTTGCCAATATCCGTCTTTAAGGTCCAGGCTACTCACGTATTTGGCATCCCGTAGTCGATTCAGTATTGTGTCGATGCGGGGTAAAGGGTAGGCATCTGGAACAGAACGTTTATTCAATTGGCGAAAATCCATACAAGTTCTCCAATTCCCATTTTTCTTTCTGACTAATGTGATGGGGAAACAGTATGGGCTTGTAGACGGCTCTATACATCCTCGTTCTTCGAGCTTTCTCACTTCGGCATTAATCACGGCTTGCATTGCAGGATTTCGCGGAGCATATCTTAATTTAATGGGTCGATCGTCGGTCATTACAATCTTATGTTCAGCTATTGACGATAGGCCATTTAATTGTTGGAACTTAGGGAGTTCCTGTGCCAGAAAATTTTCAACGATCTCACATTGCGTTTTACTCAATTCATCGTTTAAGAATTTAGGTCTGGGGGATACATTATTCGTAGCTGTCATTGTATCTATTACCTCTTTTGATGGGGTTTCCTCTCCTATAGCCACGGTACAATGCTCCGTTGATGTGGTTGGCTTACTTAATTTGACACTTATACCGGCGCAGTGAATGGTCGTGTGGAACTGTTTTAGAAATTCCAATCCCAATATGATGTTTTCCTTGAATTGCGGCATGATGAGAAATGTAACATCTGAGCTTTGGTTTCCAAATGTAACAGGTAACACTGTTGATCTTGTGATGTTCACCGTGGTGCCGTCTGCGAGGATAACATTTGCCTCATGCCGTGAATAAGTAAACCTTTTCTTGATTTTTTTCGCAAATTCTCTTTTTATAAAACAGCTAGTGGCACCAGTGTCGACAGTTGCTTTAATAGCTTTCCCCTCTATTAAGACAGTTGCAGTAAGGCGATATTCTTCACATTGCAATGATGTAATATTCTGGTTACTCTTCTTTGCCGGGGGTTCATCCTGCTGCGTTTCTGGATTGGATGAGCTTTCGTTTAGCACTTGGTCACCTTGATTGGTGCAATACAGGTTATTTCTAGAGTTGTCCGCACGTCGATTATAGTTTTGTTGATTTCGAGGCTGTTCTGACCGAGAATTATTTGGTATGCTTTCGAGTTCGTCTGCCAAGGAGATCAATTCCGAAAGTGTGGTAAAGTCTTTACGGCGAATGTACCATTGATAATCCGAATGCGCGTTTCTAAAAATTCGTTCCAATTTTTGTTCTTCGGTCATATTGGTGTGCTGCATAAGATGCTGTATAGAGAGTACATATTCCTTAAACGGCTCCTTATTACGCTGTATCCTTCTCCTAATTTCATCCTCCAATTTCTCAAAGTATCTCGGTGGCAAAAAGAATTTCAGAAAATCACTCTTAAATTCGTTCCAGGTAGTCCAGTGTCGGTTGTTGTTCCTTAGCCAGATTAAAGCTTTACCTCGTAACAACTCTGGCATTACTTTAATTATTTGATTCAATTCCACGATGTACATTTCAGCCATTTCTTCTACACGTTCTACGAATCCAATAGGGTCCATTCCATTTTCAAAAGTAATATTCCATTTTCGGATTTGGTCGAGAATTACGAGTAACGACGAATTATTGGATGGCTTGGGCGGAGAATCTTTTTGAAATCCATATTCGGGGTTTGTTGGCGACATCTTCTGTACTTTTTGATCGTTTGTTACCCCTGTGCTTGACTCTCCATGTGACCTTTCCGCGGAAATGTGGGGAAGGGCGTACTCTGTTTTTATTGGGGATAATACTATTGCTTCTGCTCCACACGGTGTTACGGTTATAAGGGGTTGTTTTGTGACGGCTCGCAATGTCGGCGATTTGGTCGGACTGGTACTTTCATGTTTGTTCTGCAACTCTATAAGCCGTCTGTATACATCGGCTTCATGGTCGTTGTGGAGAAATTTAGCCCATCTTTTTCGGAGATCGTCCACTTTTCCAACTGGATCAAGATTGAATTCAGTAAGATATGTTACCAAGTCTTCTTGCTTTAGCATATAGGCCCAGGAGACCTTCAACATTGTCTTTTCGTTTGACATTTTTTTTTTTTTTTTTTTTTTTTATTATTTTTACTTGTTTCAGTTTTTTTTTTTTTTTTTTTTTTTAACTGTTTTTTTTTTTCACTGGGTTTTCATCTGTATTTGTCTAATTATTGTTCACTCATTTATTTATTCTTTCTCTCTTTTATGGTCCCTGCTCGGGCGCCATTGTGACGACGTGTTTTCACTTTGAAGCTGGGGTAGGTTCAGCGGGGGCCAGAGTCGTCACAAAAATTTATTTGTTAGGACATAAAGAGAGAGAGAGCGAAGCAAAAATATTTTCTTAAAACGTTATAAATTTATTTCCTTAAATAACACTAAACACTACACTAAACACAATAAAATCACGTTCAGAACTTTTTACGAAGAACACTAAATCACAAAGTTCAGTCGAAATGTTAATAAACGGGTAGCAGTGGTGGCAGCTTGGCACAGCGGCGGCCCGATGAATAGGCGAGCGACGAATAGAGTGGCGGCAGCTTGGCACAGCGGCGGCCCGATGAATAGGCGAGCGACGAATAGGGTGGCGGCGGCTTTGGCACAGCGGCGGCCCGATGAATACGTCAGCGGCGAGTAGTAGTGGCGGCAGCTTGGCACAGCGGCGGCCCGATGAATAGGCGAGCGACGAATAGGGTGGCGGCGGCTGTGGCACAGCGGCGGCCCGATGAATACGTCAGCGGCGAGTAGTAGTGGCGGCAGCTTGGCACAGCGGCGGCCCGATGAATAGGCGAGCGACGAATAGGGTGGCGGCGGCTTTGGCACAGTGGCGGCCCGATGAATACGTCAGCGGCGAGTAGTAGTGGCGGCAGCTTGGCACAGCGGCGGCCCGATGAATAGGCGAGCGACGAATAGGGTGGCGGCGGCTTTGGCACAGCGGCGGCCCGATGAATAGGCGAGCGGCGAATAGGGTGGCGGCGGCTTTGGCACAGCGGCGGCCCGATGAATAGGCGAGCGGCGAATAGGGTGGCGGCGGCTTTGGCACAGCGGCGGCCCGATGAATACGTCAGCGGCGAGTAGTAGTGGCGGCAGCTTTGGCACAGTGGCGGCCCGATGAATACGTCAGCGGCGAGTAGTAGTGGCGGCAGCTTGGCACAGCGGCGGCCCGATGAATACGTCAGCGGCGAGTGGTAGTGGCGGCAGCTTGGCACAGCGGCGGCCCGATGAATAGGCGAGCGACGAATAGGGTGGCGGCGGCTTTGGCACAGCGGCGGCCCGATGAATAGGCGAGCGGCGAATAGGGTGGCGGCGGCTTTGGCACAGCGGCGGCCCGATGAATAGGCGAGCGGCGAATAGGGTGGCGGCGGCTTTGGCACAGCGGCGGCCCGATGAATACGTCAGCGGCGAGTAGTAGTGGCGGCAGCTTGGCACAGCGGCGGCCCGATGAATACGCGCACGACGAATCGGGTGGCGGCAGCTTGGGCACAGCAGCAGCCCGATGAGTACGTCAGTCGCCGTCAACGCAGCCCGAAGAATAGGGAGTATTGCTACAGCCCTCACTCGACCCTGCGTTCAGTCGCCGTCAACGCAGCCCGAAGAATAGGGAGTATTGCTACAACCCTCACTTGACCCTGCGTTCAGTCGCCGTCAACGCAGCCCGAAGAATAGGGAGTATTGCTACAACCCTCACTTGACCCTGCGTTCAGTCGCCGTCAACGCAGCCCGAAGAATAGGGAGTATTGCTACAACCCTCACTTGACCCTGCGTTCAGTCGCCGTCAACGCAGCCCGAAGAATAGGGAGTATTGCTACAACCCTCACTTGACCCTGCGTTCAGTCGCCGTCAACGCAGCCCGAAGAATAGGGAGTATTGCTACAACCCTCACTTGACCCTGCGTTCAGTCGCCGTCAACGCAGCCCGAAGAATAGGGAGTATTGCTACAACCCTCACTTGACCCTGCGTTCAGTCGCCGTCAACGCAGCCCGAAGAATAGGGAGTATTGCTACAACCCTCACTTGACCCTGCGTTCAGTCGCCGTCAACGCAGCCCGAAGAATAGGGAGTATTGCTACAACCCTCACTTGACCCTGCGTTCAGTCGCCGTCAACGCAGCCCGAAGAATAGGGAGTATTGCTACAACCCTCACTTGACCCTGCGTTCAGTCCAGTCCAGTCACCACAAATAGTCAAGGCTTATTGTTTGGCTTACTAAGACTCAATTCAACCGAGGTTGCGCGCCTTTTCTTCCTCCCAATCACACTTGACTTACCAGCCATCAACAGAAGACTGATCCCGATTGGGTGAAATGCGTCTCCTTTTATACCTTTTTGGCTGGACAACGATTGTTGTTTTCTCATGACAGCAGCTGATCCCAATCTGACAGTTTTGCGTAGTTCCGCCATTTGCCACCAGGGGTTCCAATGTTGTATTTTAAGTATACTTCTTTCTACTAGGGGACAATAATAATGTACCCCAAAAACGAAAGCATGACTTTTGGGCGTTACAACATATGGTCCTAATGTAATAAATTTGGCATTATTTCAATGAAAATCAGTCTAATATATATTTTTCATCCAATTTGATATTCAAGTCTCTCAAAGTCGCTATACCTTAGAAAAGAAATACCTTCGACAAATTTTGTGGATATTGGTTAAGATTTGGATAAAGTTTCCACATTAGAATTCGATGTGAATGATACAGCAGAATTTTGGATGGTGCCATAAAATCTCAACTTAATAAGACCTATCAAGTTTGGACTAAACAGGTTGAAATGTAGCTATAACTTCGATCCATAATTTTCCTTCAATTTTTGTATATCTAAACCTTCTCAAAGACATGAAATGCATGGTACGAGAGGTCTCATATTACATGATAAAAATATCTCCATTAAATTTAGTTAGTAAATCTTTCAGTTCGCATTTTCACAAAAAAATCCATATCTTCACCTTAGGTATCCACAGTAACCTTAACATCAAATTTCAGTATTTAAGATTTTTAATTTCGTCCATTACCAAATTTAGTACAATTGAAATACGCATATCCCAAAACCAGCACCTTCTCTCAAACCCAGACACCAACCCAGACGCTTCTCCAATACCCATTTTTTTACTACTTAGTACTTTTCGAACAATTATAGTACACATTCCCAAAACTACCTCCACATTTGAACCACAGACACCAACGGTTACAACTATTTCAGGATCTCAGCTCTATTCCTTCACTCGTTACCAAATTAAGTACTATTTAGTACTTTTCTTACAAATATAGTAAGCATTTCCAAGCCACCGCCAAATCCCGAACACAGATACCACCACTATTCTAAATGTCAAATTTCAGAGTTTTATCTCTATCCCTTTATACAATACCAAATGCATTTGTATTGCATTTCTACCATTCATTATTGCATTGCATCATATTGTTGCATTTTAAGAGAAATTTATACGGGATATCCGTATTATGTATTATGTTTTCTTCCTGGTGGATTGAAATTCTTGTATTTTATTTGTTTCACCACATTTTTATACCCTCCACCACAGTATAGATGGTACATTAAGTTTGTCATTCCGTTTGAAGCATCTCGAAATATACATACTTGATGGGCATAAAATTCTATGGTGATTTAAAGATGTCTGTCCGTCGATGGAAATCCCTCTTGCTTTCGAACGACCTGAAGTAGGATGATAAAATTGGTTATGCAGGTCCACGTCTTCGTATAACCCACGGTACCTCCCATTATTCGGTATTTTGATGATTTTAGCGACATTATTCACCGGCATTGTTTTAAATTTCCTATTTGAATATTGTTACGGCATATGACAAAAATTCTACGTAGGTCCACGTCATCGTATAGACCCTAATATAACGGTAACTCCCTATATTCGGTATTTGTATGATTGTAAAAATATATTTCAACGATTTTTTTTGAAAATTTCCAAATTCCATCTTAATGGTGGAGGGTATTTAAAGTTCGGCCCGATCGAACTTACTGCATTTTTACTTGTTTAATGATACCGGCTGATATTTTTATCTCTCACTTGGTATATCAACTCCATATGTGTGTTGATATACCACATATTGCTCATAATGGGGTACCGGCCGATTTCAGATAGTTTAAGGGCTTCCCCATGCTATCCAATGGAATTGGCTCGCATATGGGGTCTTGATTTCTTAATGCGGTTTATTACTCTTCAAGTTTATTTTTGTTATGATTTTCGTATTAATTCACATGCCATTAGTTTTCATCGAAATATAAGTGCATTAAACTTTAGAAAGAATATTAAAATAGTCTACGGGTTTTAAGATTAGACCGATAAGGATCACATTAACAATACGTGTTCAAACTTTTAGGGGGAAAATATTAATATGAACCGATATCTATACGAAAGTTAATTTTTAGAGAGTGTGGATCAATCGAGACTACAATAATTGGTTTTATTAATTCATTTTTTTATTACACATAATTCTTTAAAATCGCAAAATATTTTTAGGGGTACTCTATATAACGCAAAATAAGTGTCTTCGGATGGGTCGCAAAAATTGGGTTGTTGTCTGCTTGTTGATATTTTGGCAAAATTAAAAAAAAATTGTTTATAAATATCCGCTGTGTTTATATTCACGAAGCGTATTTTAATTGTTTTTCTTAACAAACAAAATATTCATGGATGGCAAATCAAAACAACCAAATACACACATCGATGGCTAAATATGTACACTTCCTAATCTTGTAAAACAGCAGTTTTCAAAACTTTTAATCTTTTTGTTTAGGAAAAAATGTATGGTTTATTGAGCGGCGGTTTTTCATGATCCGTCAACACGTTCATTCATTCACATGTTCTTTCTTACATAATTTCACTTTCAAGATCTATTTAATTAGAAAATAAAAACAGAGCGAGAACAACACTCACAAAACACAAAATATTCAATACGAATAATGTAAACTTCAATGTTGATTCGCCACAACCCATTTTGTTGTTATTGTATTTGGCGGCGGAAAATCAAAACAAAACAATTGAAACTGAAACAGACTCTTCTCTGTTTCGTTTTGTAAATTTTTACAACCGGCACGGATCCGTACTTCTCGACTGAGTATTGAGAACTAAAGTCTATTTTCTCGATTGTGAATCGAAATTCCAGCTCTTCTAATCATGTTGGTGTTCCAACTCTTGTTCGTGTGTCCCGACATAGGCTAATGTGTGTAGAAATGTGGATTATGAGTTTTTGAATTTTCGTTATCAGTTGTTGCGAGATAAGGAATTGATTGTTCCTCAATGCCAGAAGCACCTTAAAAACACGCATTGTTATTGTTTTTATTGCGATAAGAGAAAGTTCTATGACAAACGTAACACCTACAAATATATTTTTGTCGTAAAAATAACACTGGCGATCATTTCAATAGGTGAATTATATTCCAAAATAGTGATTGATTGATTCGTCAAATAGACTGAATAATACAATATTATCCTAGTACTCCATAGGTTAGTTGGTTGTTATTGTAGCAGTTGATATTGACGTGTTTGGTCGCTAATCTGGCTCGAACATTAAGTTTGACCAGTAAGAAAAGGAAAAAAGATGGGCTGGAGCGACTGTATACTCAAGGACCATGCCTTCTTTACAACCTCATATCTTCGTATCACAATTTGATGAGATTTCAATAAAGATCTGATAAAATCCTCATTTTAAGGTGATTCGATAAAAAAAAAAACATCCATCAAGGGCTTATATGTGCATGGGGGTTGAGTTTCGTAGCAGCGACCGAAGATTTTTACATCTGACGTGCTCACGTTGTGCATCTTTTTCTCATTACTTGGTAAAATAAAAGTAATTTTTAACATTTTTATATAAAGTATCTGAATTCAAACGGGTTTCACTTTATACTACAAATACCAGTAAGACCGCTATTAAACTTTTCAAAAAACTATAAAGTGGGTGATGCCGTTGTATGGGGCCATACCAAAATGGCCAATTTTATACTTCAAGGATTGTCATCTACCAAATCTTCATAAATTCCAAATTTGAAACAATTTCGTGGGTAAATGTGACTAGAATTATTAAAATATCGATAAAATATCGTGGACATAGATTTTCAATGATCAGCCGCTGGAGCCAGAACCCATTATGAACTACCTAATACCAATTTTTAGACAAATCCGAGGAAAAATGTGACAAAAATCATTAAAATACAGAAAATCCGAAGGTACAAATATGCGGGGGTATACAAAAACGTGGACCTATACATACTATGTTCCACCAGAGGAGCTAGAACCCATTTCGAACTACAAATATACACTTTTGGAAAAATCCGTGGAAACATGTGGCAAAAATCATGCAAATACCGAATATCGAGAGGTACCGTCATATGGCGGCTATACCAAAACGTAGACCGATATATCTCATTTTAAATACCAACCATCCTAGCCTCAATACAAATTGTTTTGCTAAATTTTGTCAAATAGACAGACGGACCGACAGACATTGTTATATCGGCCTAGAATATTATGCTGATCATGATAAATATACTTTATGGGGTCTACGATGAATATTCAGGGATGTTACACACGGAATGACAAAGTTAATATACCCTCCTTTTCAAGGTTGAGGTTATAAAAATAAAAGCAACAAGGAAGGACAAATGTAGCGTCCTTGTTGTATTATTTACATAAAAATGGAGGGAATCCAATCTTCAAATCCAAATCTGTACCGATGTCGGCAAAACTTGGCAATGGTGATATTAGAAGTTTGATTGGACCAATATGTTTGTAAACCGCGAATATTTTTTATACGGGCGAAATTACAATTGGTCAAAAAGGTCATTTCGACCGTGACATTGATGCTGATAAATAACTTTAGACCTAAAAAGGTATATATATATATATTCTTGATCAGCGTAAAATCCTAAGTCGATTTAGATCTCTCTGTTCTTCCGTCCGTTTTAATCACGCTAGAGTCAAAACGAATTAAAATAGGAAACTAAAATTTTGCACAGATCAGTCTTTCGTCTGCAGGCAGGTCAAGTTCGAAGATGGTTACATCGGTTCACGATATCTTATAGCCCCCATAGCAATTTTTAATGGAATTTTCTGAAAATCCACACAAGGAGTTCCTTTTCCTCTGGAAGAGAGTTGTCTATATTGGATCACGATATCGTACAGCCCACACAGTACCCCCGATATTTGCTATTTAAATGATTTAAGCGACATTTTTTACGGAATTGTTTCAAGTTTCGTTATGGGTACTACATCTTATTACGGAAAATTGTTTATGTACTACGTCTTCGTATAGCCCGCATATAACTGCACCTCCCTTTATTTGGTATTTTGATGATATTAGCTTCATTATTTACTGGAATTATTTCCAGTTCATAATGGGTACTGCGGCCTATGACAAAAATGGTATATGCAAGACCACATCTTCGCATTCGATTTTTTTGGGAAAATTTTTAAGTTTATTCCTACCTGCTTTTTCACTTGTTTATTATATATAATCATAATCCTCCTGAAATTT